AAGTGCATTCATCTTTGCCATGTTCCATTCATTTAGTTGACTAGTGCTATACGCTGTAAAAACACTTACACTGACAAGCAACGCAATATCGCATTCATAAACGAATGTGACTCATCTGCGATTATGAACATATACATGAACATTATAGCAGTGATCTATGGCTCTGTGTATTAAATGCCGCTCCATCTGAAAGCACGTGATGGAGATTTACTATTTACAGAACCGGCTTTACTGGCGAGATACACATGAAAATCACATGCGATTTATCGTGCAGCCATAAGTTTGTTTGTTGATCACAAAGTACAAAATAGATGAGGAAAACTAGGATGCCAGGTGTATTCAAAGCACCGCCATTACTGTCTACAGTGCGTGGAATGGTGCGCTGTGATTGGTTGAGTGGATATATCGCGGTTTGGAAAGAAAGGGAGAAAATGGATATTTGTGTGTGTATATATATATATATATATATATATAATTAATGTGAGCTATGAGATTTACATCTATTGGCTATTTTAATTCATGCAGGGCTATGTTTTTATGAGTGCAGTTATTGTTTTCCAAAACTCTACGATGTCTGTCTTGGCCATATGAGCGTATAGCTTGTGTTTTATTTGAGGCAAATTAAGTGGTTTTGATTGTGATATGCCTCTTTTGTCAGCCACAGTTACATTTCTCATTATGCGGATCGTTTGGTGGGTGGTTTGTCAAGCAGTAAAATGCGTAATGAGCCGCTGTGTGCCGCTGCAGTGTAAATTTGTAAAATTGTATGATTGATGTCTTTAAAAAGACAATCCTGCTCGTATGTATGCACACCCACACTATCCCATCATTCATAGGCCGTGAATAAAAACACTTTCTTTAAATTATCAATATCTGGCACTGAAGGATCCGCACACACCAAAAGAGCGATTGAAGAGCGTCGTGATTGAGCGAGTTTGCTGGAAGAAGCTCAGAATGCTGTCTGTCAGTCCTTACCAGATAAATGCTATCTCTGATCTATTTTCTCTTTTGCAAAACCGAGTGTTTTCACAGTCAGCAGATGGCATGTGCATGTATGGAGGAGCGTCGTGCATGTTAGTAGTTTTTTATCAGTCGACACCTATAAAAAAACGCAGCTCTGTGTTTCCTGACGGCGTGTTGCCCTGCGAGAGTCTTCCGTGAGCGTGTTATGAAATATTAGTGAAGTGTCTGCAGAGCGGCCCGTGGCACAGTGAAAGATGGTTTTTAAATGGAGCGAATGAGTGCGGAGTGTGTTGTTTTGAGAGCACATGCAGGCGTCCTGGCAGATTTTTTTTGAAGTGCGCTTAGCAGCATGTTTGTGAGTGACCTGCATGTTGATGATTCGGTATTAATCAAGTCAGACAGAGCCGACTGTTAAACGAGGGTCTTAAAAGCATTAGACTGCATCAAAGGGAGAAATATCATAACTGGTCCAGTTAGGAAATTCCTTGATCTGCACAGCAAAACAGTTTGATAGCACTTCATTGCAACTAACAAACAAGTACCATGGTAGGGCCAAATTAAATCCATTTTATTCTTTCCCAAATTCCTTTTTTTTCTGTTTTATTTTTTTTCTGGATTCCATTATTTATTTATTTATTTATTTTTCCTAGACTCTGTTTTAATGGTTGAATTAAATTGTATTCATCAAAAGCATGCCTAATTAATTGAAATCATAAAACTTTTTACTTATCAACATTTCAAATTCAGTTTTATTTGTTTTGTTAAATATTAATAATCAAAAGCATCTCAAATGAGTTGATTATATATATATATATATATATATATATATATATAAATGCAGAAATGCTATGTTGTGTATTTATATTTTTCTGATAAATATATTCTGGTAAATAATTTTTCTGGTAAATATCCATTTTAAAATAATATTTTAATAATAATGTTATTATTAGTAGTAGTAGTACTATCATTACATTAAGCAATATTTTTGTCACAGTTACTTTAGGTTAAACCAAACTTTTATTTTGGCGGGTTGCTGTGAAAACCGTCTCTGTTACGTATGTAACCCTCGTTCCCTGAAGGAGGGAACGGTGAAGTCACGTCGTGAACGACGAATTGGGCACGCCTCGTAGAGGGTGCTTTTGCCGAAGTGATGGTATCTACCACCGCCTACCGATCACCCCGGACCTCGCGTCCAGATCTGTGGAACCTCCACATGTGGTCCCTAGACAGGACGCGGGGTGCCAGATGGTGCCCTGTCTTTGAGAAAGTAGATATTTCCTCAGAGGAATGCGCCAGGGAGGGGCTGTCATGAGGAGCATCAGTTCTGGGAACCAGGTCCGGTTGGGCCAGTGTCTGTGCAAGTAGGCTCACTGGGGGAAATGCATACTTGCGTAGGCAATGGAACGTGACTGAAGAGGCAAACAGGTCTACCTGCCGTGAAATCTCGTCAGCTGCATGATTGATCAGGCCCGGAATGTAAATGGCACGAAATAACCTCAGATGCTGCTGACTCCATAGGAGGAGATGGCGGGCGAGTTGCAACATACGACGGGAGCGTAGACCACCCGCACCGGTCACAGAGTGTACGGACCAGTATGTGCTTGCCTCGTAGCGGCGTTTTGAAGCGGCCCAGTGCAAGACGTACTGTAAGCAACTCGAGGCAATTTATGTGCCAATGCAGATGGGGGTCCATCCACAACCCTGAAGCTGCATGTCCGTTGTACGGGGCACCCCAGCCTGTGGGTCCGACCACGGGCTGAAAGCTTGGCGACAGGCCGAAGTGACTGTCACTCGGTGCGTGCCGCGTTGTCACGCCCATCTCGGGACTCGGCCATGAAGCCAGTGCTGAAGTCGTCTCATATGAAGCAGTCCAAGCGGCGTTACTGCGGCTGCGGATGTCATATGCCCCAGGAGCCTCTGAAATTGTCCTGTCCTTGAGAGAATTCAAGCAGTTCAGCACCGACCAAACACGTTCCTCTGTGAGGCGTGCTGTCAGGTTGACCGAGTCCAACTCCATACCAAGAAAAGAGATCCTCTGCACTGGAGAGAGGTTGCTCTTTTCCCAGTTGACCCGAAGTCCCAACTGGCTGAGGTGACTGAGCACCATGTCCCTGTGCTCGCACAACTGGTCCAGCGACTGAGCCAGTCGTCGAGATAGTTGAGAATGCAAACGCCATGTTCTCTCATGGGAACAAGGGTGTCTGCACCTTCCATCACTAATTTTAAGCTGATGATGAGCTGTTTTTATATCTTTATGAAGACGGTGGTTTTTCAAAGTAAAGATTGAGAAGTCAGTATTTCGTTTGAGTTGTTTTATTCCAGTCCTGAATTTTTCCATTCAAACCCCTTAAATCAATTTGTCTCCAAGCCTCAAGAGCACAAAACCCACAGTGAGACTTAACGCTGTATTTCTGGAGCATTTGCATTCCACTGAAGTGCGCGTCTTTCTCTTGAGCGCCGCCGCGGGTTCGAGCCGTATTCAGATGAGTGTGTGGAAAGTGACGCCGCTGAGCAAGGGAACACACACCTCTGACACCTTCAGCTGGAATCAAAGCAGCAGCGAGACGCTCAGCACTTTCGTCTCACATCAGCCCACTCAGACACACGGCGAGGTGAAACTACATGCTCGTGTGCGATGCGAGGATGAGACTTGAGGCTTAGCGTGACATGAGATGCATGTTTTTATTTGTGTCCTTTATTTCCTGACTCTCTTACAAAACAGGTACTAACAGGTTTTATGGTACTTTGATATTGGCTACTGTATTAAATGATATCATATTCATAAACAGTAGCATTTAGATGGTACTCCAAGGAATTTGTATTTTTCAAAGAATATCATAGTATTACCATAGAACATTTTTATTGGTGCTCTCAGATTTCAATTAAATTATAATTAAATATGTAAATAAAATGTGTTAGTTAACAATGTTCATATTACATCACTATGATATTGTAAGTATTATATTAGCAAAAAAAAATAAAAAATAATTATTATTAAATGTAATATGATACATATATATGTGTATATATATATATATATATATATATATATATATATCATGTATCATGTATGTTTTTATTATATATTTATAATGATTAAAATAACAATAACAATAATAGTAGTAGTTATACATTTAGCAACAGTATGATAATAACAATTTGTAGTAGTAGTAGTAGTAACATAACAAATAAATATCAAATTATTATTATTATTATCGATGTGATATTTTCTTTGTTATAAGTTATTAAATGTAATATCACACAATAATAATGATAATAATAAATTGTATAGTTTGTTAGTTTATGCTAATAAATGTAATATAATAAATGTTATTTCATATTCTTAATTTGAAATGACATGCCATAATTGTCATTTATAATCTAAATAATAATAATCAGAATTTACACTACAACTAAAAATGTCCACTTTATAGGCTTTATTTAAAAAGCCCAGTCCCAGTTTCATAGGATTCGTGAAGAGTTGTTGTTTATTGCCTGTAAATAAAGTCGATTACCTTAGCCCACTGCTCATTTTCCTACTCATTCAGATATATTTCCCTCACTGTTTGAAGACTTTACTTTTTACGTGTCCTTCTCAAGGTGAGTCTCAACAGGACGGGCTGATTTTACCATTGGTGTAAAACGAATTCACCCATAAAGAATTGTAATATTTCTTGTCATTTGTCAGTAGCGCTTTCTCTGCACTAGTGCGTCTTATCTGTGGCCCATCACAGCACACATCCATTCTGCCCCACATAAACCCCAATCTGTCTCTCAGCCTGGAGTCCTATCGCTTTTTAGTGTGGCTTGAGTTATTCGTCCCATTTCAGGCCCTTGTGGGTTTTTCAGGGATTCTTTATGCCTCTTTCTTTGTTGTGTTGATAAATGTAGTCGGTTCATGTAAGGCCTTCCTCATCATGCCAACAACAAAGCTTCAATCGCCCTTGCGCTGAAAAATTGGAAAAGAATCCTAAGAAACGACACCCACTCACCACGAACAACCGTCTCTTATTCTTCACCCTTTTTTGTCTTTACAGCTACACTCTCCGAGTGGTTGGCAACGGCATTAAAGCCCAGGCTGAAAACCCAGAAGTCAAAGTGAAGGAGGCCGACCCGGTGATCAGTCAAGTCATTGATAAACTGAAGCACATCAATCAGGTGAGCCAGGCCAGAAAAACGCAGTCAAATGAAACAATGTAACAAGCTCATTGATGTCCCACGCACTGCTGTTTCATAAGTTGCTGTGTTTGCATGCCAGCAGATCAGAGCAGATCTCATTAGCTCCGCTCATGCGTGTATGAAACTGTGCGTTGTGTGTTTAAAACGTGTTAGCATGGTTGTAGTAATGTGATAGAGACATTTTTTGCTGTTGAGAATGTCTCAAGGTTCTAAGAGTCTTGGAAATATTTTAAAATTGTGGTTTCCAGAACTACAGTCATGGACACATCATCATAAAATTATGTGTGTGTGTGTGTGTATATATACATAGCTAAGAAATACATTACATAATTAATAATTTAATACATTTAAATTAATTTAAAATGATTTAATAGGCAGGCAACCATATCACCCTGTAGCCCAAGACTGGTTGCCCACTGAAGCTAAGCAGGGCTGAGCCTGGTCAGTACCTGGATGGGAGACCTCCTGG